AGAAAAAGGCAAACAGAAAAAACCAACAAGATGAAGCTGTCCAGACCCCACCCTTGCCTTACAGGCTTCCTGGGCCTGTTTAAAGGAGTCCACATGACGCCACCATTAGCAGATAACTTACTATATATAGCACTTAGATTAGACAGAGATGTGGGCTCTAGGCTAGGGTTGGTCAGGGTCACATGAGATAAAGGGTTTAGAATTCCTCAGCTGCAGCAGTAGATGTACACCACACCATTTTATTTACTTATTTATTTGTCGTGAAATGTATATAACTTTGGTAGCTGCTTCACCAATATGGTCAATCAAGGCAACTTGTTTTAATAAAAAAAAGAAAAATGCACACACTTCTATATCTTCCTTTGAATCTGGTCTTGATTTGAAAAGAAAGTTAACGTTTTTAATAAAACTCAATATTCATTGCATCTGTTACATTTGTTACTTACCTCCCAGTTTCTTGATATGTGTTTTGGTTAATTTTGTATGACTTTTAGAATCAGTTCCATATTTTGCAGCTCAAGCTCGTTGCTGAATAAATATTGCACAAATAAGAGAATCTACCTGTCCAAAACAGGAGATGGAACAAGATTATCCCGTACTAGAATCAGAGATGTCAGTAGTAATGTGGCACTGTCTACTTTAATCTACATGTAGTAAAACATTACATTAAAGATACAGAACAGCAAGAATAAGATGGCAGTTTTATGGCTATGATTACATCATTATAAAGATTAATCATTGTGTTATAAATAACAGTTTGTTAATTGAATGTGTTGTTCACTATTTTGTCTACTTTGAGTAATGTTCTTTACTTTGGCATAAGTCTTATGTTTGTTTCTAATAAGTTTCCCATCACTTCTGTCATGATGTACTAGCATACTGCTGAATGCTTGTATTATAAATACTACCAAAATACTTTTTTCTTTCTTGGTTTGGTTGCTTTAGTTTTTGTTGTTGTTATTACATTGTTTTCATTGCATTTAGAGCAAAAATGTAAGGAAACATTTTTTTTTTATGATCCTTAGATTTTATCAGCTTAGAATGACTATCACATTATAATGTATTTTTTTGTTCAGGGGATATTTATTATTAGGACCTGGGGTACTGACAATGCTGTAGCCTGGGATAGGGCGTAAAGGCCCTTTTGCAGGCCTCCCGTTCCAAGTTACATATTCTGAGGGAAAAGTTGGGGGAGATATTCCATCAGCTATCTTGGGGATTCCTGGGAGTCTGGGAGATGACCAGATAGATCCCTATAATCATATATAAAGAATATAGGTAATTCACTCCAAAATCTTTAGTAAAACTAAGTCATCTTATGTTGTATGCATGAGCAAAGAGAATTTGAATGCAGCTTCCAACATATATCAAAATCTGTGAAGCAGAAAAAGTATATTCTGTTGGATTAGTTGATCTCATAGGCCTATTGAGAATATTTTTGGAACTGAACCCAAATTGACACCTCTTCCCAAATTCATTGATCTCAATTTAGTTCAAATATTCTTATTGAAAGTTATCTTAAAACTGTTTTTGTCTTGTTTGATCTATCATACTCTGGCGCCTAAAGCTTCTAATAAGTTACCCTCCCGGTTTCTTGTTCAGGTTCAAATTTTCAGTGTCTCGATTCCAATGGGAGAGAGAGAGAACAGTTCTAAATGATTATGTTTTGCAGCTGTATGGTTCACAATTTAATCTTTCAATGAAACAAATCACAAAGTGCATTGCGTAAGTAGTGGAAAAAAGTTTCACATTTCCATCTAATAAACCAGTCATCGCAGGAAGAGTTAGCTTTTCCATTTCTTTCACAGAATTTATGAAGACACAACCAGTTGGGCTAGAATCTAAAGGAATAGATGTATCAGAA